ATAATATAATAGTGAAATGTAATGAGTGGTTAAAGGTACAGCTTCTACCAACGGGGTGACTCTGAATTCACTGTTCAGCCTCCCTAGACCTGACACTCCTTTTATATAGCATGAGAAAGGGGTCTCGAGATTCTATTGTCATTAATTTATATGGAATTTTTTTAGCATTCCCCAACCCAGAAAGTACCAATTCATACCAAATAGGAATGTTCTACTTTTCTGCTTTTAGAAAGCAGAAAAAACTTGAAATAGTACCAGAGCAGAGTGCTATTATAAAGTTAAACATAATAGGTGTAAACTGCATTGTGTCTGGTTCAATATTAAATCCTCCATAACACGGACTCTTGTTTTGATTATGTGTTATCTCCTTAATATACTTAGGACAGTCTCTGATACTGTTTTGCATAGTGGAAATAAACTGCCAAAATGGGATAAAAAGGAATTACACACCTTAAGCCTTTCTCTGCTAGAATTAGGTTCATTTTAACCATATGACTTACCCACATAGAAATCTGGAGTGGTTGTTTGGTTTTTTGTTTTGTTTTGTTTTTGTTTCTTTAAGATTTATTTATTTGTGCATACAGAACTGGGGTACAGGCCAGAGGCTCAGGGGCGGTGAGAGGCTTCACCAGAGACAGAGTGGGGAACAGAACAGGCAGATGTATGAAGTACACTGCTGAGGGGAGCAGCGGGCGGGCCAGGAGAGGTCTGGCTCGCCATGTGGTCACCTCCGGGGCAGGCGGGGATCGAACTCATGCGGAAGCGGCTTTAGCTTCTCAGTGCTGTGCTGTAACCCGCTGTGGCACCAAGGAGGGCCCTTTTCTTTGTTTTTTAAAGAAGGAATCAGAAATAATCAGTCATCGAGCCCTAATAACAGGGCTACAGCAGTTGTTCAACCCGTCCTTGTCCTAACTTTCTGCTCTTCCACTTTGACCTAATATTCTCATCTTTATAGTAGAAAAGGGCCGCACTACCTCCAGACAGCCAAGACTGTACTACTTCCAACAGCCACAGAGAAGGATCACAGGGTGAAAGGCCTTTTTACAGAATTGCTTCTTCCAAGGCCGGGGGAAGTCCCACCTCTTTCGCATTGGCCAGAGTCTTGCCTGGCTGCCCCTTATGACAGTGGAAGCTGGGTAGGGATGTGGATGTTTCTAACTGGGCACATTGCCATCTTAAACGATTGGAGGCTGATGGGCTGGGTGTATGACCAGCAGCATCTTGCCCCCAGCCACAAGGACACAGCTCCTAGGCTTCATGTATGTGCTCAGCACTGGGACACTCTGAAGGCGTTTGCTGACCCTTAAATCCTGCCATCACTGTGGAGAGGTGCTCTCTGGTGCTTGGAATGATGCAAGCACTAGGCTGGAGATACGAACCCCCAAAGAGTCTTCAGCCACCTCCGACTTTAATTCAGAAGCAGCCTTAGAAGGTGAAGGCTCGTTTCCAGCTGGGAGACTGCTGAGTCGGCGGAACCGAAGGTGCGAGCCGCAGGGACGGGGCCTGACCAGAACATGGCTGGCCTGCCTGGAAATAGGTTTGCATCTTTCCAGAAGTACTGACTTCAACGCAGAGGATTCCAGAATTTCACTTGAGATGAGCCTCAAAACTCTCCGGGGCTGATGATGAAAGAAAGGAATGATCAAAATACCATCTGTCATAATGGAAAACCCAAGCAGCCTGGAGCTCTTTCTGGGGCAGCCCGTGCAGATTTCATCAATCTGGACAGTTCTGTGTGTGCTGAGGTCACATTTTGGCTGATCTTTTTGCTTATACTTTAACCAAATAAAGCCTTCTCTCTCCACATCTCTGTTGCCAATGTCAGGTTGAGAGATGGCTCTGCGAGAGGGTTGTTTTTGGCAGGAGACACAGAGCTCCTCTCGCTCAGCAGAATATACCCACAAAGCCAAATAATCCACCAGTCGGGGTCCAAATGATGTTCAAGTTGCAGAGAAGCCACTCAAGTCCTCACCCCTTGCCTCTTGTTGTTTCAGTTTTTTAATTCTCTTGGGTTTTTGTTTTGTTTTTTTTTAGCAAAAAGTGCTCCCCAACATCAGTCAAAGGCTCAAGGGGAGTTTCTTCATGGACAACTAGTTTGCCTCCGAGGGGGATTCGCTTTTTGGGTTTTCCCACTTGCTACAGCCCTTGCTCCTTGGTGTTCAGATTTTTGCCATATTATGGTTTCTGGCTTCTCTGTGGCTGGACATGCCCAGGCCGACGCTTTCCAGAAAGGAGGAGGGAAGAAATTCTAGTGGCTGCAAATCATCACTCAATCTGTGCGTGTCCACTTGTAGCCAAGAATATTACATTCAAAGCCAGAGAAGAGAAGGAGGGAAAAACCCCCTGCTCCCTAGCTGCGGGCTGGCATCCATGTCAGATGGCTCGGAGGAGCCTCCATGCTCTGGAGCTTCCCTGGGGAGATGACTTACATTCTCTGGGCCAGTTTCCTTATCTGTAGGAGAAGAACATTGAACCGGATGATCAGGAAGGTTCCCCTGACCTGGGGGTTGGGGCAGAAGACTTAGTTACTATAGAAACCTTGATTGTTTTACTCAACCCTGTGTGCGCCATGGGGATCCCTGACGTGGGAGTCTGTGTCTTGGCTTCAGGCTTATGAAAAAGGAGTTAGATTCCAAAAAACCTGCGTCCTCTACTTGAGTGAATGCTCTATCCAGCAAGTTTGCTAGAGCTCCCTCCCAGATTCTACCAGATGGGTTTCTTCCATGGAAATTTCTGGAGAAATGCTTGATGGAGTTCATCTTCCCAGGACCTGTGTGTGAAATGAGACATGTTCCGTGGAACACTAGGTCGTAAGGAGCGCGGCTGGGCTCCTGGAAAGGTCATGAAGAGTCTCCTTATTTTTAGTTCCATCCTCTGGTGGTGACCCACTGAGTCCTTCTGGGTGTGAGGGTGGTGAGCCATCTTGGCCGCTACCTGTAAGCATGGCTGCCCTCCTTTGGAGCACAGTTGGGTTTCACACTTTCAAAGAACTAAAAGGGAGCTCTCCCTGGTGGCGCAGTGGGTTAAAGCACAGCACTATGAAGCTAGATGCAGCCACCTCCTAAGTTCGATCCCCGGCCAGGGGGGTGACCCACATGGCCCAGCAAACCTCTCCCGACCCGCCCCCCACTCCCCTCAGCAGTGTAGCTCATCAGTCTGCCTGTTCTGCTCCCTACTCTGTCTCTGGTGAATCCTCCCACCGCCCAGGCACCTCTGGCCTGTACCCCAGTGTGCATAGATAAATAAATCTTTTTAAAAAATAGAATTAAAAGGCCCCTTTGCCGCCTGGCCGACAAGACCTCTGTGTCATCCTCACACTCCAGAACTGTCCCTCCCTGCCCACTGCCCCTCCCCCCGGCCGCCCTTTCCCCCTCGGAGAGGAATCACCCACTCCCACCCTAATACATCTCTCCCCGCTCCCCCAGGCTTAAGGAGCAATGTTTTAACAAACACACATAAATCAATAAATGTGCCTTATCAGTGCTGGATTGCCAGCGCGTGCCCAGCAGCAAACATGGCAATTTCACCATCACACACGCACACACACACTCACACCCCCCAAGCCTACCTTCCTACCTGCGTCTCAGTCTCCTTCGCTTAGATTCCCCATCTGACAGATCTGCATTCAAGTGCAAATTGATCCGGGTGATGCCCCCAAACACAGGTGGAAGCTGTATCTGGGAAGTTGGTTGAAATAAATCCCGTGAACTAAAGTCCTTTGTTCTCATGTTGATCTCTGACCGATGGTCTGAGCATTTCCATCCACACGGATCTTAGGAAAAGTGTCTTCACCATTTAATTATCACCACATGGTATCTGCTTCCAGAAACAATAATGTGCTTGAAGAAGATTGACAATTTTTCGAGGCAGAGGACTCGGTATATCATTTGTCTTGTTCTTTAAACGGAGGTCTGAGGCCTTTCAGTTGCTCAGACAAGTGTCCTTGGGGGAAACCCTCTTCCCTCTTTCTGGTAACCTCTCTGTCACCTCTCCCTCTACTGCTACGGAAGGAATGTTTGTATAATCCATTGCAGTCTGGGGGAAGACATAGAGATGAGAAAATTAAAGGTAATCTTATCCCTTTGTGAGAAAATAAAATTTTTTAAGATGACAGGAGAATATATGGACATCCACTTATTTCTTTTGCGGGTGTGAGTTATGAAGAGATAACTTGCTGTGCTCACCGTTTTCCCAAACAAGATGAGCCCTCAGGGGAGACCTGGCTGGCTCTCTTGCATTAGGGAGTTTTATGTCTAGCGGTGTCTTAGTCTGCTGAGGTCACGCTAACAAAATGGCACAGACTGGGTGTCTTACAAACAACAGAAACTTATTTCTCTCAGTCCAGGAGACTGAAAGTCCAGGGGCCGATTCTGACCAGGCTCCAGACTTCGTCCTCACCGGGCGGAAGGGCCAGGGTGCCTTGTGGGGTGTCTTTCATCACGACACAACTCTCTCCTAGAGGGCTCCACCTGGGGACCCCCAAACCTCTGCCTGCTAACTCTGAGGAATAGGGTCTCAGCCCCGGGGGGCTTGGGGTGCACATCCCATGCCATCTGTTCTAAGTTCCATGCTCAGGATTTGGCGGAACCCAACCACAAGCAAAACCTGCCTCCCCAAAGACAGCGATCGTGTCTTTCCTCGAGGGGGCTTACGGCCTCGTTTCCACAGCAGTCAGGGTCTGTATTCTTGATCACGTGTCTTGTGGCAAGAATTGATATTTTCACATGCAATTCTCTGACTCCCGACTCCATCCCCGGCACAGGGCTAACCCGTGCTACCAGCCAGCTGAAGGTAGCAGCTCACCAAAGAGAAAACCCTGAAAGCTTGGCTGAGTTCGGAACCCCTCCTCACCACAGCTTGCGCCAGAACCCAGCGGTTACTGGGGCTCTGTGGGTTCCTGCCACCTTCCTCAGAAGCACGCTTCTGCCGAAGTCCTGACTAAGGGGAATTTGTTCTGTTGTTGTCTGAGTGCCTCACTCTGTTTTGTTCTTTTGGCCCAGAAACAGAAAAGATAGTGCTAGAGGCAGGAAATGGGTTGCCCTCCTGGAAATTCAATGACCAGCTCTTCCCCTGTGACGTGTGTGGGAAAGTGTTTGGCCGCCAGCAGACCTTGTCCCGGCACCTGTCGCTGCACACAGGTGAGTCAGCCTCGCCCTTGGCTTCTGCTCTCTCTCCCCCTGCTTCTCCATCATTGTCGCGAAGCTGGCTCCTCTGTGAAGCTGGCCACGGCCGCTGCAGCACGAGTTCGATCCCCAGGGAGGTGACCCACAGGGTGAGGCAGACCTCGCCTGACCTGCCCGCTGCTCCCCCTCAGCAGTGTACATTGTCCATCTGACTGTTCTGCTCCCCTCTTAACTTCCTGCACCGCTGACCTGTACCCCAGTTCTTACATGCATGAATAAATCAACCTTTTTTTAAAAAGGAGATTAATACAGAAAGGACTTGCTGCTGGGTAAGGACGATGCCCCTCCCCCACCCCCATCCCTCTCAACCTCAGAAAACTATGAAAGTACTATTTTGTGACTGTTTCCGCCTCTCTCTTCACCCACTGAGATTCCTTGTTTTCTTCATATATGAAATCTTTATTTTTCTGACTAGCTTTACTCTCCCTAACTCCCCTAAGCTCCGTCCATGTTGCTATAAACAGAATGAACCGTCTTGACCCTTGTGGCTGAATATTGTCCACGGCCTGGCCTGACCACGTCTTCCTGGCCAGTCCTTTCAGTGGCACTTAGCTGCTGGAGCCCACGCTGCAGCAAATATCGGGGTGCCTCCCTCCACAGCTTGAAGGGCTCCTTTGAGTCAAGGAAATGTGACGGGTCCTTTCCTTGGTCCCCAGTTTGGTCTCTTGCAGAGCCTTGGGATGGCCTTTGGGGGAGTGGTTTCAGATTTTTCCTCTTTCTTGTCACCCCAGAAGAAAGAAAATACAAATGCCACTTGTGCCCCTATGCTGCTAAGTGCCGTGCTAACCTGAACCAGCACCTGACCGTCCACTCGGTGAAGCTGGTGAGTACGGACACGGAGGACATCGTCAGCGCCGTCACCTCTGAGGGCAGTGACGGCAAGAAGCACCCTTATTACTACAGGTGAGCAGCGGGCCCGCCTCTGCCCAGCCTCCCAGGCGTGCTCGCCCCCCGGCCCCTGTCTGCCAGGGCGTCCGTAGCGGGGGCACCTTCCCGGGAACACAGCTTAGCCTAGAGTAAGCCCCTCTCTCGGCTTAGGGCGGCCTCGTCAACTCAGTGGAGAGGAAAATGGCCTTGGAAGTGGCTTTCTGAGGGGGAGCTCAGAGAGCGGCGGGACTCTGAGGGCTATTCCCTGCCAGTCTCCACAGCCGGGAAGCTCCCACCTCCCTGCTGCAGTAGACCAGGACAGACAGGCCCGAGGACCCTCCGGCTCCGGGGAGCAAGCTCTCCGCCTGGCCTTGCCCAGGGGCTGGGCGTCCAGATGGGGTGCGTGTGTCTCCAGGGACGGGTGGCCTCTGACAAGGATGGTCACGGGCAGGGCTGACTGCGCCGAGGGCCGGCGACACCCGTCTCTGCTTCTCCTTCCCTCGCGGACACTCGCAGCGCCTGCCAGAGGCTGGCCCGCCGTGCCGGCCCGCGGGTCACTGCCCGCGCCGCACCTCCCGGCCCAGAGGAGCCCGCTAGGTGATGGGCGGCATCTGGACTCCGTAATTTTTAATTAACTTTATGATGACTTAGCATCGTGATAGCTTGTGTGCGATTGTTGCATCGTGCTGGCTTAATCCGTTTGGCACGGTGACCACTTCCAAAGCATCCCAGAAAGGAGGAGAATGTTCCAGCCCTTCTGGAGGGGAGGGAAAGGTGTGCGGAGCCCGTTGCTTGTTTTCTCCCCTTGGAGTGGCCACACAGAGGCCGCCTGCCCCCGCTCAGCCGTCCGCCTGTCCCCTCCTCCAGCTGTCACGTGTGCGGCTTTGAGACCGAGCTCAATGTCCAGTTTGTCAGCCACATGTCGCTCCACGTGGACAAGGAGCAGTGGATGTTCTCCATCTGCTGCACCGCCTGCGACTTCGTCACCATGGAGGAAGCGGAGATCAAGGCTCACATCAGCACCAAACACACAGGTGACCGTCCCCTCGCCCTCAGCCTTTCCCTCCGGCCCGGGCACCCACGGGTGCACCCTCAGTGCCGGGTGGCGCCAACACGTCCTTCCCGGGCAGGAGCAGGACCCCGTGTCCCCGCAGCCGCCTTGTGCCAGCGGCTCCCCTGCTGACCCGAAGCACCCCGAGTTCACAGGCGGCGAGAGCTGCTGAGAGTGTCGGGCCTTGTCCTGGTCACCACCGGGATTGGGCCGTGCGTGCTGGGCGCCCGAAGCCTCCTGACCGCCCTGAGGCTGTGAGCAACGTCTGGCGAGGTGTCGCCTCGGGCCCAGGTAGACACTGGGGTGTGACTGCAGCAGGGCGCCCGGCCCGCAGCCGCCGGCCAGCTTGTGCAGACGCTCGGCCAGCCCAGCCTTCTCCAGGCCGAGGGTCAGGTGGCGGCCGCGCTGGTTAGCTCCTGTTTGAAGGTGTGTGCTCCTGACCCCCGCGCATCTCCTCTCTCCTCTCCCGGCACAGGGGCCGGTCACCCTGCGGGGCCTGGCTGGGTCAGGCCAGGACGCCGCCCCGTGTGCGCCCCATGTGCGTGAATTCCGAGCCCTGCGCTCCTGGCCCGGCACCCTGGGCCCCGCGAAGGGGACTGTCCCTGACAGCTGTGCCGTCGCGGGCTCTCTGGGCGGTGCCAGCCACCTCGGCCCTCTAGTGCCAGCGGCCATAAAGGCTTGTTTTTGTCAGTAAATGGAGCCGCTAGGGCCGGGAGGCTGCGGAGGGCTTAGCGCGAGCCGGTGCTGCGTGCGCACACAGGCGTCGCCGGACCAGCCAGCACGGCAGGCATGAGGTGAGCCGGAAGGCCGCCCGGAGACACATTCCGCCGGCATTTCTCAGAGCCTGGTGGAGGGAAGGGCCAGCCCCTCCCATCCCAAGGCTTCTCATGCACTGTTTTTTTTTTCTGGTTTCGCATCTCTTCTTGTAACCCCAGTCACCCCAAAATACGCCTAAACGCAGCCCACAGCCTCCCTCCACCCTCCCTCCCTATCACCTCTCCCCTGTACAACCGGCTCAGGGAAACCATAGAAACCAGAATGGCAGAATCCTTAGATTCTAATGACTTAGCGTCACGTCACTGCCATGGATGGGAACTTCACCTCCACGCGCAGCCTAATTGGCACAGGGACACACAAAGAGCTCGTCCCCTCTGCAGCGGGGGCCACTGGCTAGCTGGAAAGAATATTCTTGCTTGCAAGGAGAGCCCAGGGTGAAATGCATTAAATACCGTGGATGCCTGGAGCACTGGTGCTGTCAGGGAGTGAGGTAATAACCTATTTTATAAGCCAGGGACACTCGCACTTTTTCTCTCTTTTGTAAGGGCCAGAGAGTTAAGTATTTCCGGCGTCAGGCCGTGCGTTTCTGCCTTCGGAATTCAGTGGCCGTCAGACAGCAGGCCAGTGGGTGGGCGTGGGTGGGCGGTGTGCCCGTAAAACTTTATTGACAAAAGCAGGAGGCTAGATTTGGCCCCAGGGTGACAGTCAGCTCAGGCCTCAGTGTCCTGTATTTAGTTATTTTGAGGTGTTTGAATTTAACCCAAAACGTGTCGATCTGCATGCCACACTGGTGTCCGCGCAGTGGGGGCAGAGCGTGGGGGTGGGGCAGGCTGTGCACAGCCGTGTGGCTGCACACGAAGCAGCACGCGCCCCCCGTGCAGGGACGCTTGCAGAGACGGGAGCGCGGGTGGCTGCCGTGGCCCGGTGTCTGCCCCGTGTGCAGGGGCCGGTCCCCGCGTGCGCGCCGCCCACTCACGCCTGGGTGTCTGGGGACGCGCTCCCGCGGGCCGGCGCTTGCCTGACCCCCAGTCTGGGGCCAACTTTACGCAGTCCGAGTGCAGAAGTGACCGGAAGGCGGGGAGCACGTGTTGCGTTCTGGATCCTGGTCCTGCACCTGTCTCCGTCCAGCCCTGGGAGCTCGCGAGCTCTTCTGGCCTCTCCGAGCCGCCATCCAGCCCCGAGCCATTCACACAGGGAGGTGCTTTGGGGTGACCTGTGCTCGGAGCCGGCGTCTTCTCTCTCCGTGTCCTGGGGACCTGCAGTGCTTTCCCGTTACCTCCGTGATATCTCACCAACGGTTGAATCAACAGAAGTAATTTTCATTATTTTCCACAGAATCCGTTTGCTTTCTCTGCCTCATCGAAGACACATTTGTAGAAAACGGGGTGTGCGTGGGGGGGGGAGGGGGCTGAGGAACTCTCTGGGCTTAGGTGTTTTTCACATGGACCTCCTGACCCTCCCTCATTGCCTGGCTCCTTGCCCCTACAGAGAATGTAAATTCTGTGGTGCTTGTGACTTCCTCTGTACAGGTTTTACTGAAATGTTTAAATGCTGCAGGAAATGGCATTGAGGAATATGAATAGCTCATTGGGAAATAGCCCTCAATTACTCCCTCACACTGATGCCAAAGTCAGTGTCAGATGACTCACAGAATCTTTTAAGAAATTGGCCCTAGGAAAGCTTGAAAAAATAGAATATTTATCAAAGTTGCAGAGTGAGAAGGCGTAAGTGATACAAATCACAAAGGAAAGAATTGCGAGATTTGACACGTAAAAATTTCTTGTTTGCAACAGAAAAAATGTGAGAAGGAAACTAAAACAAAAACAAACCCAACAAACACCACTGCCAGAAAACTGTGTCTGTTAAATCACCAAAACGCTGGTGTATTTACTACAAAGAAAATTCAAATACATTGATAAGAAACACATCAGGTATCTGAAGAATTCACTAAGGACATGAACAGTCCAGAATAAGAGAAATGAAAGCTAATCACTTACAGGAAGAAAAAATTGTTTAACCTCAGTAGCAATCAAATGAAAACTCCAGAGCAGTTAATACTGCACCCAGTAAGTGAGAAGTCACTCGTGTTTATGGCGCAGCCCTCTGCAGTCAGGTGCTGGTAATATTTAGAACGATGGCCTGGCAACGTGGTAAAACCTTGGAACCTAATTAGGTAGTACCTACCAAACTCCTTGAAAATGTGATCCAGTAATTTCTATTTTGAGCATTTATCCATGGAAACAGGAAAAATCAACCAGTGGAATATCAATCTTTAGTTAAAAATATTAATTTTAACTTTAATTGTAAAGAACTATTTAGAGATTGATAGTGGGTTTAATACTATCATTTAAAACTATTATTTTCATAGTTTTTTGAGAGCCACTATGTGCCAGCTATATAAATCAACACAGGGAAAGGACTCGATCTTGTAAATACTACATGGTATTTATAATAGAACAGCAATAATAGATTCTTCTATCATGCTTGCCATGAGCCAGGCATTTCTCCTCGTGCTTTACATATCAAAATCTACATGAGATCATTGAACTACCTCTGTGAAGGTCAAACAGCTCCTTAGTGGTATAGGTAAGCCTCAGAGGCAGGTACCCTAGGTGGGACGCCCTCGCTCACAGCCACTAGATGACTCAACAGCAGGATTTTTAAACAGAGATGCTTCCTTTCCCAGACAGGAACACAAGTATACCGAGCATGTAATGGTGCTGCTTCTGAGGCAACAAGATGGCTCGTGATGATTTACGGTCTCGATTTCGCAATTTGTACTGTTGCGTGAAACAGCTGGGCTCCTTCGAGTGCTCTTGGCCAGGTGGTCCCAGGTTCGCAGGCATGGGAGAAGCGGCACGACCTGTGCACAGGTGTCCTTCAGGAATCTTGTGGTGCAGATGGTAAATGACCACGTGGACCACAGTGAGCCTTGGAATGGGTGGGGTGGGCGCGGTCTGCTCCCAACTCATAGAGCAAAGACTGATGAGGACTGAGGAGAGAAGCTGTTGGGCTGAGGTAGATAAGCTGGAAGGCCTAGTTCCCCTGCAGTGGCCTCCAGGAAGCCTGTCTAGCTGTAAAGGTATTGATTCAAGCGATGCCGGCCAGTGCGCTAAACTCCAGGGTACTTGCAGCTCTTCTTAAAGATAGTAATTAAAATGATGATGCCTTCATGGTAAAAGCTCATTCAAAGTAATCACTTGCTCTCATCTGTTGGCAACACTGGCCTTAAAGGATGGATTTGGTGAAGCATTTATCAGCTGTTAACACCTCACTGAAAATATTTTAGTTGACTACAAAGTGTAACGAAAGTGGTTGACTTTTTTATAAATTCAGAAGGGCATATAAAGGCGAGAAGGTACAGAATGCTTGCATACGCCAAGTAGGCAGAACGAGCTGCCCTGAGGAGAGTTTGTTGGCAGGTTGGTAACTGGAAGCCACATCTTCTCCCATGGACAGCTTTGGGGGTTGCTGCTGCCGCTGCTTTGCACAGGGAGAAACTGGCAGTGAGGAGAAACATGTGCACAGGCACTGCTGGGCAGAAGGGCTGTGCTGAGCTGGTTAAATTTTAATAAGAGGCCTGTAGTAACGTGAGCTTCACATGGCTTCCTGTGCCGGGGATGGGGGGCGGGGGGCTGTTTAAAGGCACAGGCCGACCCTCCTGGGTAGCTGGGTTTCGTAGAAGATGTTTTGAACTTTTAACTGAAGTACGAATTGTGGGCCCTGGGCCTAGGCAGAGTTCTCTCAGGACCAGGATCTAAAACCACGGTAAAAAAGCAAAAGTTTTCTCCTTTAAAAAATGCTTTTTTAATTGAACCCGTAGTTTTGGTTATCAGAAAACTGTGAAAAAACAAATAAAACAAAACACACAATGCCGGTCATGTAGCTCGTTAGCTGCAGCCATTGGAGCTTTGCTCACTTTGCAGTTTTTGTACCTATCTGTAGTAGATGATTTATTTTTTCATCTCCTAATATAGGAACTTCATTTCTGGAGTTTACAATCATTAATTACTTAACTGATCGGAAGGAACTGAAACAAAATTTCCTCGTCTTTTTCGCCTTAACATAAATTGTGGGGTTGCATTGAATTGATTTGGGAGAAAATTAACACCTTTACAATAGTGAATCTCCTGGTCCTGAGCAATATCGTCTTTCTTTCTTTCTTTCTTTTTTTAATCACAATGCAATTTCTTTTTTTTTTTTAAGATGTATTTATTTATACATACAGAACTGGGGTATAGGCTAGGGGTGCAGGAGGTGAGAGGATTCACCTCTCACAGAGTGGGGAGCAGGATAGGCAGGTCTATTGAAACACACTGCTGAGGGAAGCAGCAGGCGGGACAGGAGAGGTCTGCACGCCACGTGGGTCCCCTCCCTGGCCGGGATCGAACTCGCGCTGCAGTGGCTGCAGGTCGCTTCACAGTGCTGCGCGTTAACCTGTTTTGCCACTAGAAGCGGCCCATGATGCACTTTCAAGTGCTATTATGCCACTTAATATGTATTGTTAGCACCTCACAATATTCCATGTTTCTTTCCCCCAGACTTTAGGTTGTTGTCCAAAAAATGCAAATCTTTTTCGATGCTTTTAGATTTTAATGGCCTACTGGCGTGTTTTCTCCTGGCCTGGAGGCCCAGCATGGATGGTGGAGTCAGACCAACTGGAATCTGCTCCACTACTTCCCAGCCTTGTGACCGGGGCCTGTTTACCCTCACTGTGCTTTCTTTCCCTCATCTGTGAAATGAGGGTGATGATTTTGGTGACTCCTCGGGCTGTGAGAGATGTTAAAGTGAGATGATGCATTTAAGGCTCAACTCAGCGCCTGGGACCGTGGATGGTGCACTACACCATAGGGACTGTTGTTTTGTTTAACTACAGTAAGACCTGTCAGGTGACCGCTGGCGCCACAGTGTTATGACCGTAGGTGACTGAACCTTGCCTCCTGGGGGGTAGCTGGTGGAGTCGGAAACATCCACTTGTGCCCCCAGTAGTGACGCCACCCTGAAACCCAGCAACCCCCCCCCCCGTGGCTATTATTCTAAAGTTTTCATTTCCAAAAGTTATTTTTCTTTTTCAGGGGAAGACCGGAAGACACCCAGTGAATCAAACAGCCCCTCGTCATCATCCCTCTCAGCTCTGAGTGATTCAGCCAACAGCAAAGACGATTCAGACAGTTCTCAGAAAAACAAGACTGGGAACAACCTGCTGGTCATCTCAGTGGTGCCTGGGAGCCAGCCCTCCCTGAACAGTGAGGAGAAGCCAGAGAAAGGTAAAGGAAGTGTGGGTGTGTGTCGTCCCCCCCACCACACACACACACACACACACACACACACACACACACTCCAGCAGTGACCCAGCCTTGAAAATAAGCCCTAGAGCGGAATGGTTTTAGGAAACAGGCATTAGACCCAGAAAGAGCGTAGTGCATACGGGCGAAAATTTGCATTTCCCTTCCACCTGATTGGCAGCCAAAGGTTGGGGACTGCAGCGCCATGACTGTTTAACTCCTTTTAACACAGAGATTCAGGGAACAGGGCCTGGAAGGGGTTAGGCGGGAGGTGGGGGAAGGTAACCTCAGCCCCACTCGCCCCATGCACCTGTACACCCAGCTTCGGTCCTTCCAGGGTTCGAATGCGTTTTTTGCAACTTTGTCTGCAAGACGAAGAATATGTTTGAGCGCCATCTGCAGATACACCTTATCACCCGGATGTTTGAGTGTGACGTGTGCCACAAGTTCATGAAGACCCCCGAACAGCTGCTGGAGCATAAGAAATGCCACACTGTCCCCACCGGTGGGCTCAAGTAAGGAAAGCAAGTACAGAACCTTTTACTGTGTTGTTACTAAGCGCCCTCCCCCACCCCTCCCCCGTCCCCGCCCCGAAGGTTGTGGGGTCCTGGAGAGGGGGAGTTTGGCATGAGAGGAGTTAGCCAGTTGGATAGGAATTAGACCTGACCCACGTGCTCACAGAGGGGCGCGTGGGGCAGCCGAGCCCTCGCGGGGAGCTCCGCCTAGCTGCCGGAGTTCTCTTCAGACTTGATGGTAGTCAACTCGGGTTAGTGCCCCAAGAACACGTGGTTAGACCGACACTTCAGTTACTGGCGATTTTTTAGATGATTTGCCATAAATCTTCTAAGCAAGCGTTTCAGCCACCCCGCACCACCCTGCCCTCAAAAGCTGGCGCCTCCCCAGCTGGGCAGGAGGCAGCATTTTCAATGCACAGACCAGGTATGTGCCTCGTGTCTTCCTCATGCCTGCCACCTGCCCAGGGACTGGAATTGGGATCTCCCTGGTTTAGACGACTTGAGATCCGACACTTCCAGCCACGTGTTACTCACGGATCCCCAAAGACCTAGGTAGTGATGTCATCATTAACCAATGTCTGCAAGAAGCCCTCCGGCCAGAGGTGACCCAGGCAGTTACTACCCAGCGCACGGTGTGTCCGGCTGGATCACAGGTGCCAAGGAGCGAGCAACGAGGCACACGTAACTTGCACCCCAGGGAAGTGACGCCCTGGCACTACCGGAAGGCGGTCCTCCTCCGTGAGTCTGAGACCAGGTCACTGCTGGCCCACTCCCGAGAAAGACGCCTGTGTGAACGGGCCTGATGACCCGTTGTTAGCCGAAATGATCATGGAATTAAAAGAGGGAAAAATTACATTTTGCTTATTACCAGGAAGAAAAAAAAAAAGTTTTTTTGTTTTTTGTTTTTTTTTAGAACATTTTTGTGTGTGCAACTCAACTTGCAGAGAGGCACAGATGCCAGGATGGGCGAGGGATGGAGAGGCCCGCAAGGCCAGGGTGCTCCATGGGCCCCCCCTGGTTGGGGCGCCCCTCAGCGCTGGTCTAAACAGGAGTCGGGGCGCAGCAGCAGCACCCACTGTCAAAACCCATTTTGTTCCATTTGGTGTGGGGAAGCGACTAGCTGGGGGAGGGGTGGGGAGGGGGCATCCGGGCTGGGGGGAGGGCAGAGTCCAAGCAGCCGTAAATGGGGGACTCCCAGCAGCTGCTCATTTGGGGATGCGACTGGGTTTGTTCCCACTGACCCTTTCTAATTATTGGTGAACTCTTATTTAAAAAAAAAAATGTTAAAGAGCCATTTTCTGTGGTTTGACTAGCGTCATCGCCCGTCCCAGTAGCCCAGTCACCCCCATTAACCGCTGCCCCGGCCACCGTGGCTTCGCCATTAGCCTTCCATGGGGACCAAGGAGCCGGGGCCTTGGCCCCTGGGGGAGAAGGCCCCGGGGACGCTGCTGTTTTCCCGGTACAGACACTTCCCGTGCGGTGCTAACAGTCCCCTGTGTAATAGTTTATATTCTAGGATGGCCAAGTAGAAGAATACTTGGGAAAATTGATAATGCCTCTGGCTATATACAGTGAGTCTTTGTTTTGTTTTCCCTTTGCCATATCAGAGAATTCATTTGCCCGAGAGCGCGTCTTTACCATACGCACGGTCGCCGGCCACCCTTAGCACTTTGCCTGAGCAGCGAAAGATTGAGCTGTGGGTCACAGAAATGTCCTTAACGTGAAACAGACCGCCGCTGTCTAAATTGCTTTTCTGTGATGGAACTGCTTGTACTCTATATCCTGTTCGTAATGCAGATCAAATAAGATTATACTATTATTTTTCTTTTGCCGTAGCTCAGGACAGTGGTGAGTTTCAGACTCCTCTAGGTAAGGCCCAGCTTGGCGTAGGGGTTGTGTGTGCAGCTGACCTGGGAACGGGCTTTATATTTCTCTCGTGTGCACTCTTCTGTGAGCTGAGGGCCCAAGGCTAACGGCGAGCTTGGCGCTGAGGAGCAGTGCACGGTGTACTCGGGCGTGGTGGGCTCTGCTGAACACCTCTCCACACCCTCGGGGGACACTCACGCCCGCCCCTGCTGGGCCAGCGCTGAGGCGGCCACTTCTGCATTTGCATCCTTTTTGCCGAGAGAGCACACAGCCCTCGGGAGCCGCTGACCGCAGCCGGCGGCCACTCACGCACGCTGCTCAGACTCGTAAACACGCCCTCACGGCTCCTCCCGCCCCTCGGCGCAGCCAGAGGCGGGGCAGTAGCCTCACTGTCCAGATGGAGGGCGGAGCCACGAGAGGCCCCTCTGCCCCAGGGTAGATCCAGTTACAGCCCGGCCGGCGGCGCAGCCGGGGCCAGGCCTGCCCCAGTGACCGCGAGGGCCAGTCCAGTCTTGCAGGGCGGCCGGGCACTGCAGAGTCTCGGCCCTGCCCGCGAGAACAATACGATCCATGGGATTATCGCTGTGATGGGCTCATGTACAAACGCCCTCGTCAAGCCCCCCGAGAGACTGTCGCCCTCCCTCCTGTCCCGGGGTGACGGCCGGTGGGTGGGCCTTCTCGTCCCCGCCCCGCCCCGGCCCTGCTGACCGGGAGCCAGGCTAGGAGACGGTGCGGGGCATGTCCAGGAACAGGCACTCACACACTGACTGACACACACAGGCCTTCTCGTCCTAACCCCTTAATCAGCACGATCTGACCCTGTGACTTTCTGTTTGCTGGAGGTAGCTCTCCCCTTAAAGCTGTTCTTCAAAACTCTTAGCCTTTCTGCGTGTGCTTGGTGTGGTGCATGAAAAGTCGATTCTTTGTGTTGCTCCCGGCTAGAGGGGAGGCCAGGAGGTTTAGACCTCAGCTGTGTCGGGGGGGTGGGCACCGGGAGGGCTCCCAGGGGCGGTGGGGTGTCGCGGGGCCCCACCGCATTCAGTCCTCCCCTTTCTGTGCTGGCCTTGGGAAGGCGGGTGTCCTGCTGTTGCAGCCAGGAGACCGGGGAGGCCGAGGGTGCCTCCGGGGGGCGCCTTCCTAGTGGGGACTGCTCTGTCGGCAGTGCGAGCCAAGGGGGTCCCCTTCCCCCCCAGAGGCGGCAGGGCCGGGCTGGGCACGGGGCAGGACAGGCTGGCGAGGAGGGTGCCGCGGGCGCGGCGGAAGCGCGGGCTGAACCCCGTCTGGTTGCTTCCCCTCGCAGGTGCCCATTCTGCATTTATTCCACCAACCGCCCCGCTGCCATGGAGTGCCACCTCAAGACCCACTACAAGATGGAGTACAAGTGCCGGATCTGCCAGACGGTGAAGGCCAACCAGCTGGAGCTGGAGACGCACACCCGGGAGCATCGCCTGGGCAACCACTACAAGTGCGAGCAGTGCGGCTACCTGTCCAAGACGGCCAACAAGCTCATCGAGCACGTGCGCGTGCACACCGGGGAGCGGCCCTTCCACTGTGACCAGTGCAGCTACAGCTGCAAGCGCAAGGACAATCTCAACCTGCACAAGAAGCTGAAGCACGCCCCCCGCCAGACCTTCAGCTGCGAAGAGTGCCTGTTCAAGACCACCCACCCCTTCGTCTTCAGCCGCCACGTCAAAAAGCACCAGAGCGGGGACGGTCCCGAGGAGGACAAGAGGGGCCCGTGTCCCGCCCCCCAGGACCCGGCCGTCCCCGGGGCCCCGCTCCTGGTGGTCGGGAGCCCCCGGAATCTCTTGTCCCCCCTGTCGGTCATGTCCGCCTCCCAGGCCCTGCAGACCGTGGCCCTGACCGCCGCGCATGGCAGCGGCGGCTCCGAGCCCAACCTGGCACTCAAGGCGTTGGCCTTCGACGGCTCCCCGTTGCGCTTCGACAAATTCCGGAACTCGGATTTTGCCCATCTCATTCCCTTGACAATGTTGTACCCCAAGAACCACTTGGATCTCACATTCCACCCTCCCCGACCTCAGACTGCGCCCCCCAGCATCCCCTCGCCCAAACACTCCTTCCTCGCCTATCTCGGGCTCAGAGAAAGAGCAGAGACTGTCTGAGGGCAGCCGGGCTCTGTACCAAAAACAGACAGACAGGAAGAAACAAAACCCACAAAACTTAAACACAACCCCAGCAGGTGTATGTTGCTGCAAAACCCGCAGGCCCCGCCGGGCCTGAACACATGTACTGTAGATGGTTAGTAAGGGATAGAGAACTGGCCTGTGTGTTACCTACCGCATTGACCTGAAGCTGCTTTCTCCAGTCTCCAGCGAGGTGACCTACTGCATACTTCTACCTTCAGAGGCATGCCTCCCACTCCCAGTCCTTCTCCGTACTTTTCTCTGAGAAAAAAAAAAAAAAGGAATTTTGTCTTGTTAAAACCCTAAGAGAGTGTCCTTAATAGCAATCAGCACTTGTAAGCTTATCTACTGGTGCGTTTTGTTTTCTGTTGGGTGAATGGGGTGTGAGGACGTCTGGATTCTGCGAGCGAAGGCTGTGTGTCCCGTGCCATTTTGATTGCACATTCTTTGTACTGGATTCTTTCACCGCCACCTACGGCTCCTTCCTCCTGGGTGGTCCACCCACGGCCGCCGCTGTCCCTCAGCTCCTCCACCATCTCTTCCTCTCTACGAGCGGCAGGGCCCGGTGCTCGGTCCAGAAGGAATGGTGGGCTCCACCGTGCTCGCCAGGGCGCCCAGACCCCCGCGCCCGCCTGCTCTGCTGACAGAGGTGGAAAAGAGCCCCGTCTGGAAGAAATCTCTCGCAGCACTGCAGCTGACATCACAAAACAGAGTGTGTCTTGTGTGTGCCCCTAGCCACACACAGTGCGTCATTTTTTTAAGGGCAGATTATATATATATACATATATATATATGATGTATTAATTCAGTGCGTACCATTTGTTTGCAGGAAAAAAAAATTGTATGAGTGAAAAATTTTATGGTTGAGAAATCCAGCCAAGGAGATTAAAAGGGGTTTGGATACATTCTGGGTATAAATGCTCAGACTAAAAAAAAAAAAAGAAAAAAAAGAAACGGCAGTTTTGCACAGTGCTTTGGTCTTCCACTAGTTTTTGTTTCTCATCTACAGAAGAAAAAACTAAACTAGAAGGAAGAAAAATGTACCTTTTATATGGAATGAGGAGACTGTATGTCTGAAAATCTAGCCACGACCTCTGACGTTTTCCGGCCCGACAAGAAGTGCTGCTGGCCAGGGCGGTTGCGCCACCCAGAAGCCCCTGGGCTTGCAGTGGCCCCCAGGGCGCTCGGCGCAGTCACGAGTCTCTATTCCATTTCGTTAACGCCTGGTAGACGTAACCTGCTAGGAGCTGACCTTCTGCTTATTTAAAAGCTCTTATTTCATGGTCATTAAAATGGCAACTGTGTGCAGCACTTTATCGCAGCAAGGAGCAGATGTGACTCGGGGTCCAGCCCTTTGCTAAGCCCCGAAAGGGAAAAGGGTGCTGAATAGGTTCATTGCTGGTATTTTTAAGGCAACAGAATTTTCAGTATGGAACAGGCCAAAAGAGCAGGAAGAAATGTGCTTTGTCTAGTAATGCGAAGTTTGGAATATAAAAGTTTATCTATTATTTATCTCTTGAACTGGCGGACGGGAGAAATGCTTTCTTACTGCGTTGCTGTTTTCCATCAGGTGTTCTCCTGGGGTTGGGATTATTGTTTTGTTTGTTTTTCCATCTGTCCAACCCGGGGAAAATAAAAGCATCCCTCATGTTCTTCCTCTAGTCCGTTGGCTGCACTGAGAGCCCCTGGGATTGGCACAGTTCTGCAGGAAGCCAGAAAACTGGCTGTCTGTCTGTCCACACCACGGTCACCCTCCAGACCCGCTCGTCCCCCAGACCTGGCAGGTTTCTACACACTTCCCTTCGCCGCAGTGGCAAACCTGTTTACACTAAGGAGATGTCCCTGGGTGGGGAGGCCGAGCCAGCTAGGGGGGCTCCCGCATCCTCGGTCACTCTGCAGCAGAGACATCCGTTGGCCGAAATACCGTCCAGCCTCTCCGTGTCGATGTCTCGGTCAAAGACACTATAGGCAGTATGGACAAGACACTCCAAGAAGATAGGGCTGATGGCGGGTTGGTTTCTTTTAAAGTCACGTCTTTATCCCCATGTAATGGAGAATGTGCCACTTGGCTGATAATGTGCTTTCAAAGTTACAAGTTCAGTGCTGATCGCAGAGGGCCACCGGTGATCCCGCAGAAAAGGCAAGTCACACGTAAGCACCAGCAGGTTAAAAACCTGAAGAGGGGACCCTGCCCACTAGGAGCACAGGTGTCCAGCACGCCCCTTGTGCAATATGAGGTCCGAAGCGGAGACGTTCTAGGTCAGAGGGGTGTTGGAAGGAGCCATGCATTTCACCGCTTGCCACTGAACTTGTATTTGAATGACTTAGTTATGCTTAATGTAATTGGGCAACTTTTCTAGCACTTTGGAAAGAGTCATCCATCTTTCCGGTAAATTATAAAAGTTTTCTGAGTGAGAAAGGTGTGTTTGGAGTTTGTTTGACTTTTTATATTATTATTATTATTGTTGTTATTAATAAAGAAAAAAAAATCTACAGCATTTTTCAGACTCCACCGAGATAATATGTACCCCCTGGATTTGGTTTGCAGTTTGATACTCAGGGAAGGATGTATTCCAGAGATATCCTTTCCGTGTAAAACACTAATGTCTTCAAGAAATTCACCTGCAACTCACTTCAATGCCGTTTCACTATGCATTCTCACTGAAAGCGAGCTTATTTCCATCTAGTGCTGCAATTAGAGTTCTCAGCACTTTCTTTCTTCCTTTTTCTTTTTTTTAACTCCTCATATTATGTTCAGATGGCCACACTGTCAAGGTTTGTGTACATTACTGAAAATTTGTATTGTATAAAGCTTTTTTGCATTACAAGGCTGTACAGGGTCATTTTGACAGTAACTGCATCTTATGTTGCATTGCCAATTTCTAGTGTATCCAGTTTGGAAGTATAATATACTCTAATTAAAAAAAAAGGTTGGCTATATTCTCGTATTCTCGTTTCTTTTTCTTTCTTGGTTGCCATCCTGCCTCCTGCGTACTAGTGTGTCTGCCTTTGCTGTTGGTTTTTCCCTCCTGGTTAGTGGGTTTTAAATAGGTTCAGGAAATCTCCACCTCCAGCTGTATCTGTTTCAGCATCCAAGTTCGCACAAGCATGGTTACAATGCCAGTTGCCATTATGGGAGCCAAGAGGCTCTGCTCCTTTCTTGAGTGAGTGACGTTTCAGGGAATTCAACAGCTTTCTTCTCTCCTGCTTGGCGCCATTTTATTGACTCTTGCTGGAAAGGGGGTTGGGGAGGACAAGTGAATAATTCCATTTATCTTAATGATGTTTGGCAGCACAGGTGTTAACGAGGGGCAGGAACATGTTATGTTTTTTCAATCTAAATAGTGATACAAATGCAAGCAGAGTTCTCCATTCAAGCGAAGAGACAATGAAACACACTGTGTTCAAATAGCATTTTTCTATGTCCATTAGAGGCTCTCCCTGTGACTCTGGTGGCTGATGAAAAGACATACAGGGACAGAAGAGACAGTTTTGCCTGGCTTCCAACATACATGCACCCACATACAATGTCCCTTGCTCATTTCAAGAAATTATGAGCCACTTTAACTTAAAAGGATCAAGTTTACTTTTCCCAAAATGAGATTATGTGGAAGTCACCATGAATGCAGCCCTGTCGCAAATCACATGGTTTTTCCCATCGTTTTTTCATCTGATAACTCTTTTTCTTAAAGGCGATTGAATCACGTTATCGCGCCTAATTCGAGTACTACCTTGTGGAACGGCTGCTCTTACTGGAAATTACTCTAACTTGTTGCTTCCGTGCTTTGTGCTCGCTCCACACACAGGAGTGGGTCTTATTTTGGGGACTTTTTCCTTGTACCCCACACCTGCCTTGCATTTTCCTTGTGGTTGAAAACAGCCAGAAACATCAAGAAGATAATCAGCAGCTGGGAAGCTGTTTCCTGCGTGAATGGGCGTGCAGTGACCCTGGTGGGGGCCCCACCCCCATCGGATTAGACCACCCTCCGTTGTTCCCACACGTGGGCCCAGCCTGGCAGCCTGCAGTGCCCGTGTGAATTGAATCCAAGATCATATATACTATTCCTACTGTCATGTTCAATAAATACAGGTTCAGCTAAGACTCAAGGCCACGTTTGTATGACGTGGCTCCATTTGGCAGCCACTGCCCTCTGACCATTCACCCGAGCTACGTGTGGCCACGGGAGAGAGGAGTAATGCGGGCTTGAAGAGCGCCCGGCCCTTCTTACCCACAGCGGGCACTAGAATCCTTGCCTGCCTAAGTTCACTGGGGTTTGTTAGGGAACAGCAATCACATGCACTCGGTACTTTCCATTCGTGGGGAGGGTAGTGAATGAGGGGGAGCTGGATTCATACAAGGGGAGGGTCGCGGGGGTGGGGGGGTGGGCTCAGCGACATCCCTGCTTCCAAAAGATGCAGAGTTGGTGAAACTGGAATCCTTCCCCATAGGGCCTCAGAAGCTGTGCACAAGTCTCAGGGTCACATCTCAGGTCTCCATTCTCAGGCATGTATTTGTGCGAGTTCTCCAACCAGCATTCTTACACCCCCTTCTCAAAGCAGAAGAGTGCTGCACAAAATGGGCTTTACCTTAACTAACAATAACCAAGGAAGTAAACGCCTATGAAGCAGCCGCTGGGATGAATGGAGCAGAGTGAATAGGGGGACAGTGGGGCCCCTCAGGGTTCCTTGCGGGGAGGGTTAAGCAGCAGTTAACTGGGTCCCAGTTTGCTATGGAGTTACAGGGTGAGAGCAGAGAATCCATCTCCATTCATCCTTCAGCGTTAAGTTTCCCTACACCAGCCTCTGTGGTGACTTCTACCCTGTCTAGTGAGAATAGTTGCATTACTGAAACATGTTTTCAGGCCTGAGACATTACAGTGAAGTCAGATCACAGAGTTGAAGCTTGACTCAAAGCATCTTGTGAAAAGAGTGGTTGGAGGTGATCTCTGGGACCCCATCCCAGCTAACAGGTAACATCACAAACTATAAGTCTAGTCTCTTTCTAAGCAAAATATGGTTTCCAAGCAGAATCCTTGCAGGCATTTATTGCAACTCAAACTACTGCCACAACAGACTTAGGCAGGAGTCAGCTTGAAGCCCAAAGCATACAGGCGACTCTCATTGGTCCAAGCTAAGAGTTTGGGGCCAGAGCTGAGCTAGAAACAAAGTGGTTACATTTGCCTAGCCTTTTGATCTCTTTATGTATTTATGTATATACACACACACACACACATATTTATGCATATACACACTTATGTGTGTGTATCCCTCAGGAACCAGGAAGGTAAAAAGAGCTGATTAAAAGTTGAAATATTTAGAGTACAAATTATGTGTTTCTTTCCATCTCTAACCCCAACAATCAGTCCTTTTACTAATATCAGACCAAGCTAAGCAAGGACATGGGTGCTTACATAGTTGCACAGGTACACAGGCCATGAAGAATACTCCCAGCAGGTAGAGAAACATAACAGACATGGCACAGACATAGCGTAATAGGCATGTATTTGTGCAAGCACACCCAGAAGGCAGGCAATGAGTTTTATTATGCCAAGATAGTCACACTATTAAAAGATAATATTTTCCATTCTCCCTTTATGCTGTTAAAAATAAATACAGGTTGATGAAAAAATAACATGAAGAGAATAATGAAGGGTCAAAGAAATCCCATCAATCAGAACAGCGCCTCGCTCATCTTCTCCACAGTTAAACAAATGGGCGTAGCAATGGGTCACCCGCACATGATCAGTTGAGGTCCTGTCTCTTCAGGACATCCACAGTGGCTGTGGCTGTAACAGCAGCAAAGGTGCTGGAGTCTTGGTTATGCAGAGACCACGGGTGGGTTGGTTTTTTTTTTTTTTTTTAGTGGGACGAACCATCAGCTCCTGCGAAGAAGAGGCTAAACTGTGTGCACACGTGATTTTTGTGTCAGGGACCCCCTCGTTTAAATATGAGCTCCTGTGGCTTATGTTATTGAACATAAAGAGCTGAACAAAGAGGCCCTCCCTGGTGGCACAGCAGGTTAAAACACAGCACTATGAAGTGATCCGCGGCCACTGCAGCGCAAATTCGATCCCCGCCCCGGAGGTGACCCACACGGCGCAGCAGACCTCTCCTGACCCAGCCACTGCTCCCCTGAGCAGTGGATTTCATCCATCTGCCTGTTCTGCTCCCCGCTGTGGCTCTGGTGAATCCTCTCACTGCCCCTGCACCTCTGACCTGTACCCCAGTTCTTATATGCATAAATAAATCTTTTTTTAAAAAATGAACAAAGAAAATAAAAGTTAAACATAAATAAATATGAAAACCCCTCGGTCTTATTTTCATCTTCGTAACACAGAGCTCCCACCCCAGCTGGCCGTTTGCTGAGATCAAGCAGCCTGTCCAGCAACCACTTCTCCCCCACTCTCAGGCCCACTGCCAGTCTAACCTTGATCAGTTTCCCTCTGTCCTTCCCATTCATTATTCAATAAGCAGCAAATAGGAAAGTCACGTCTTGAAGTTGGTAAGAAATAGAGATAAATAAATAACACTTCCCAGTTTTAAGTTTACCAACCAACAGAACAAACTCATTTGAGCAAATGCACTCAGCACCAGGAAAGATACAAATAATTCACTGTGGAAATATTGAATAAAGAGCTTCTAATTCCAGCGGG